GTTTATTAGTTATTAATTAGATTATAATAATACTTGCTAATAAGTTAGGGAAAAATCATATAATTTTACTATTAATAACTAACATCTAATAAAATCAAGTACTGATATTTAACATTTGAACAAAAAGAAATCGCCAAAAAACATCTTTTTAAAACTTGGAACTTGATACAAAATTTAATTAATCAGAATATTAAAATTTTAGATATTATACTTACGTGTTCACATTCGAAAGATAATTTAGATGATGATTTTGAAGATTTAAGTCGCTTGAAAGCCTAATAAGAATAATTCTCAGGGAGAAAATTATAATTAATGATACTAATCTTTTAAATTATTCAGAAAATGTAAAGAATAGTATGCACTTTATAAGTTAGCTATAATTGTGCTAGTAGTTCCATCTATGCGAGCATCTGTAGATATTTTGAAATATTAACAATTTGTGAAATCCATGTAAGTACACTTTAAATAGTAAAATATTATTAAGTAACTAAATATTGATGGAAAAGTAGTATAGATGGACCATGTTGGCATCCGTCTATTCCGGGAGAAGAAGAGTTATGAGGTATTATAATTGTATGGGGAGAGCGAGTTATAAGACTCAATAGTGCTTTAACCCTTTAGGATACCCATATTTTTATAATAACAAATATCACCCCTCTCCCCTTCCAAATATTTCTAAAAAAACTACATTTTTTTTTATACATTATATTTATTCAAATGGATAAAAATAATAAATATTTAGCTTTTAATTACTATATAATTTATATGACTTTCCGAATTTATTAATTTTATATAATATAAATACCCATTAGCTATCCCTTCGATGCATAGGCCAAAGAAGGAAAGGAAAAGGAAAGGAAAGGAAAGGAAAGGAAAGGAAAGGAAAGGAAAGGAAAGGAGGAAAGGAGAAAGGAAAGGAAAGGAAAGAGAAAGGAAAGGAAAGGAAAGGAAAGGAAAGGAAAGGAAAAGGAGAAAGGAGAGAAGGAAAAGGAAAGGAAAGGAGAGGAAAAGGAAAGGAGAGAGAAATTTTCATGATCTACCTAAGAAATAAGGATTCCCTATAGCAACTTCAACCAACTGACAGTTTGCTCCTATTACCTTTGGTTTTTTAAAAAAAATAAGATTACAAAATTTAATTACGAACACTTTTAACTAAAAATATTTTTTACCTTAATCACATACAAATAAACATGTTTATATTTAACTATTGTCTTTTCAGGAACACAATTGTATTTTTTTTAAATTATAATATTCAACCTTCTATTTATTTTCCGATTGTTTGAATTACTAATACAAGGGGATAAGGAATTTATTTTTAAAAAAATATAAAATCTTTAGTTTAAACGATTATGGGTATACCGAGTGTTTGCGCTGCGCAGTAATCCGGTCAGACCCACTGTGCGGTTCAGTCCAGGCGATCTCTTCTGAATATCGGGTCAGATGGGACTGTTAAACCGACATTACTTGAATCCGATACGGCTGAAGACCGATTAAGTAAGATAGTTCACTTAAATTACTTTTTAATTTGATATACAATGAATAAGTGATTATCATTACCTCACATCATCGTGAGGTATTTATTATTTTTAGAATCAAATATTACAAAAGATTTTTTGATGCATTAGGTCACACATTGATGATATTTTGAAATGGTTGATCTAAAACTATATGAATTGTAAGACATCCGAATGTGGAATATCCTATTGATGAATTTGTAATCAGACTATCAAGGCATCACTAACCTTTCAAGAGCGTAGCTAGCCTTTACAATCTCAGAAGCTCAGCTAAAAAAAATTATGGGGGCTTCGCATCCATACCCCCCAATTTGCGGGCCTTTGGCCCGCTTTTGCCCGTATATTAATATATTTTACAATTTTAAAATATGCTAACTCTAGACAATTATTCTAAATTTCATATTTTGTTATTTATAATATTTTTCATACAAAATAAACTAGCATATTAACAATTAAAACAATACAAGACATTTAAAAATAATATTTTTTAATACAAAATCTATTTATTACAGTATAAAATATTTTCGATTGTTGATATAAAAAAAATTTGCATAAAAAATTACAAGTGATAAAAAGGTTAATTAATTCATATAGTTTTTAAGAACCACATAAGGCTATATAATTCTAACAAGTTACATTGACAAAAGGTCATGAAACTAATATAACTCTCTGTTACCATTTTAGCTTAGACAATGTTTTATAAAATTGACTAATAAGGAAAAATTTATAGGCCTAATCAAATCAACAATTCCTGAAGAAGAAAATATAAACGACCAATCCAAATCATAAAACTATATGGTGGCTAGAGCTTCCTCTTAGATTACATGATAGAAGCTAGATAAGTAATCTAGAAAATTTTTGTGAGATATTAAATTTCTAAAAGATTATCTTCCATTTTTAATGATATATAAACGACTACACAGTTGACCATTATTGCTTATCTAAAATATATAATCATATGCTCTCAGCAGCTATAGCTATAATCTTAAATTACATAGTCACACAAATAATAGATGCCGGTTAATTTGCAGTCATAGCCATGACACTCACGATGGTAACCCATATTAGAATTTATTATGTTAGATAAATTTATAAAACAAAAAAAGTAAAAATCTTTAGAAGAAGTTACGCAAATATATTGAAGTTTTGAGTTATTTACACGGCAAGGATGCCATATTAGAAATGAAACATTTTGTAACTATAAAATAAGAACCAGAGTGATAAGATATGATGAAAGTAATTAAGATTTTATATATAATTGTCGCCCCACCTCTATTTGGTATATTATATCTTAAAATAATAATAGATTGTAATAATATAAAAAATATATTCGTATTAAAAATTTAACTAAAAACTGTTTTTCAAAGAAGAAAAAAAAATGCTTACCTAAAAACACCTAAAAAAAGAGAAGAAAAGATGTCTAATTTGTTACATTCATTGTGGGAAGAATAATAAGAAGTTTAATTTTAATAATATATTTAATAAATAGATGACGTCAAATATTTGAATGCAAATTGTTACTTATATTTATTATCAAAAATATTTATTATTAAAATTTTAAAATTATTAACTGTAATATATTATATAACTGTCAAATATGTCTCAAAAGTGGCATTTTACCTGATATTTTATAAATAATTATATATTATAAAAGATTATAAACTATTTATCTACTTACTTTTTATGAATAAATATCTTATACTCATCTGGATTTGGACCTCGAAAATAATTTTAGGAAGAGACATGATAATTAAATTTAAAAATCAAAATGTAGTTGATTAGTGATTTTGAACTCGACTAATTACAATATTAAATTTGTTAATTTTCAATTAATAAATGATTATAATTATTTAATTAAGGTTATATAATAATTTAAATAATAAAAGTCAATTAAGCTTCAACTGTTAATGCTAAATTAATATTTAGTGAGTGATATTGATATATATTTAACACAGAATTATTGCAAGCTGACAGAGTGAACATATAATTTATATGTATAATATAATCTAATAATTAAAATAGTATTCATTTAATAAAAAATTAGATATATATATTAATTTTTATATAATAAAATGAAATCTATATATTATTTAATAGAATTATAAAAGAAATCGTTCAGGAGGCAATTAAAAAAATTTATTTTTAGTTCAAGGGGATATTAAGGAGCATTTAAAAAAATTTTTTGCTTCAGGGGGCTATTCAAATTTTTCAGGGGGCTCGAGCCCCTGCGCGCTTCTCCTAGCGATGCCACTGTAACCTTTACAATCTTAGAGAGCTCAAAAAACTTTGTTAAAATATTTTCAAAATTACCTTCTTTTTAGTGGTATAAAACAAATTCAAATTTTGAAGAGGAAATTTTTTAGAGGGCCTCGATGAGCCCTACTCCCTCCTGTCTAGCGACAGAATTGCTATGAATAAAACGAAAGAATCAATATGGCAATTTATTAAATTGATAACCAATGTCTTTGATTTTAACCACCTACTATGAAAAATATTTTGTAGAAATATATAAGCTAACCCAAATGAGGACCGGCCTAAAGGAAAGTATGGGCAGAAACCCCCTACCCTCCCAGAAATATATTAATCCCCTCCTTTGGGTACGCCTATGTAACATTGGGATTGATGTATACATCCTACAACTAGTAGATTGGCGATTCATTCATTATATGTATTTTAAAATATTAATGCATAAAAGTCTATTGTTACGCCATTTTGCAGTTTATACGTAGATTATATAAGAGTTATGTGAACTCATATAATGATAGAAAAGACAAGTTGAAGTGAAAACCACAAAATGGTGTTATAGCTGAATCCTATATGTGTAGTATTTATATAATATTTTTTTATTGACTCTATAAAATAGTTTGTAAAAATAATTTTCTCGTACATGTGTTTTTAATGGAAGTAACTTATAAAATAACATTTTTATAAAAATTTGTGGTAATGTTTTTTCCTAATTTTTTAAAAAAAAATTAAAAAAGAAAAAGGTAAATTATATGTTTGATATATAAAATTGAAATAAATATTGCAACTAAGAATTTTTGTAAAACGGTATACTTGTAAGACTATCAAAGTATAAGATGTTATTTAAATTGATCAGCAATAGATAAATAATCACAAATAATATTTATTGCAGCTATAGGATAATAATATAAATGAAAATTTATTTTTTAATATAGTATTAAAAATACAGTACACAGAATAGTTTTATAAGATACTGTAATTTAGCAATAAATAATATAAAAATTTTGAGGTAGGCAGGGAATTGTAGATTTTAAAATAATAAAAAGATTTCGAAATATTTTTATTTCTATTTTTTTCTACACTTATATATATATATAATAAAATTTGAGTAAAAATATAAAAATAATATTACTTCTACCTAAATGTTCAAATTGAATACGCTAAAAAAAAATTATGTGAATGAACAAAATGAAATTTCATTAATACTATCCAATGATCAAATTTATATTTCTGATATTTTAATAAAACATCAAGAAAATCAATATCGTTCAACGCAATGACATATTATGTCATTGGTTCAACGCTATACATTACAACCCATCATAGGGATGGAAAACTCTTTAGGTCTGGTCTGAGGTTTCATGAATTATGAAAATTTGTTAGAGAGGCACAAACAAGAAAAGCTAGAATTACAAAGTAAAATAAGTAATAGATGTTTATGCAACAATTTTTCAAAGAAAATTTCCAAAAGTTAAAGCACACTGTGCCTCAGAATGAGAAAAAAAGGCGGAAAGAAATTTTGATTGAGATATCTAAATTAGAAAATGAATTGAAAATTAAGCATGAAAATGAATTAGAGGCAGCAAATTTAATTCCAATGGTAAAATAATAATATTTTAAACTATTTTTTTTAGCAGTTACAACAGAATAAAACATTAGCAGTGGAGGATAAAAATCCTTTGGAGATTAATGTAAACAAATTGGAATTAAATAACCATATATCTAGGGCGCAGAGGAGAAAAGTGGGTTTAATTAATTTTTGTTTTTCATTTATTGATAAATAAGAATAAAAAGACTTGTGCAGAAGACGAAAAAAAGAAACAATTGTTAAGTGAATCTAAATCTGAAAATATAATTGAAATAGAGACCTTAAAGAACCATGAAGATATTGGGATAAAAGATAAGCTAAAATATATGAATGCACAAATATATGAAGTTTATTTATGCTATAGTTTGGATATATAAATTTGTATTTCGAGGTTCCAGCAAATGGAGATTGGTAAAAAATTAAATTTTAACCAAAATAAATTTTAATTTTGTTGATTATTGTATTATCATTGATTTATATATTTGCTTAGTTTATACCATTCCATTTCCCACCAACTTGCACTCATTAAAGATATTTACCCTCAAAATATAACTTTTGATATCAAAGGCCTAAGATTACAAACTTCTGATTATATGAAACTCAATTTTTCCCAGTTTATACCCTTCATGAGTGATGATTTATCTAATCAAAGTATAAAAATTATATTCTTTTTTATATGAAAAAGCTCAATACTAACTAGAAAATAAGAATATTGTACATGAATAAGATTTATTATAATTAACTAATTACAATTCAGAATATAATCTATATATAACATAAATTCTTAACAAAATTTTAATATAATTATTATAGATCAATATGTAAAATATTGTGATGATATAGCCCAAACAAATTGTTGGGGTGGCCATTTAGAGGTTTAAATGCTTTGATTTTTATAAATATTTGATAATACACTTTTATATGAGATTTTTGTCATCAAGTCTTTCAATCTATTATTTTCCATGGTTTTAGAAAAATTATCCTGCCCACCCACTTATTTATACAAATGTACATTTATAAATAATTTAATAGGGGTTTTGAGAAAAATATATTTGAAGATTTAAGTAATAAAATCTATACACAGCTCAGCTCCTTTTATTTATATCCCAGAATTTTTCAATAACCATGCTAATAAATACTTGATGAATCCTTTGGAACTTATTAAAATTTAATGCTCATAAAAATGTACTGTAAATATTACTACAAAATGTAATGTCTTTTTTTTCTTTACCATGAAATATTGGTTACCTTTTTTAAAATATTTTTAAATTTAGTTTTAAGAATAATTATTTTTAAAATTTTGGACAGATAAACAGGATATTTATAACTTAATTAACATAATTTTATTTTGCTAAAAAACACTTTTAAATGATGTCTACAATGGAATGTATTGTTTGGTTATTTTTATTTAAAATGTAATATTTTATTTTAGTACTTCATTTAAAATTAGTTTAATATTTAATTATTTTAAAAAATATTGCATAATTATACACTTATTGCATTTAAGTAAGGAGGGGAAAAAACAAGAAAAAGCAATACTACAAACATCGAGGGAACAAAAAAATTATAAAAATTCTTTATTAAAGATTTTATTTTTTTCATGCAAAAATGTTGTAAAATATTTACATAAAAGTTGAATGAGAATGTTCAATATGGAAATTTTTAAAAAAAATTGGCAATTATTTTTTAACTAATTTAATTTTTTTTAAATTACAAATATATAATTTTTTTTTTAACATGACATCTTTTTTTATTAGAAAAATATCAAATAAATCAATACTCATATAATTTTATTTCATTTTATTTTTATGATCCATAAAATAATAAAATATATTCATAAAAATAATATATATTTTTTTATATTATAATCTGAATCACATGTTTGAAATAATTTAAATAAACATTAAGTTTAAAACAAAAGATAATATTTTAAAACAAAACCAATTGATTTTATTATAAATTTTTTATATAATTTTTAACATTTTAATCTTTATAATTATAAATCATATGTTTTTAAGATATTAATTATAATGTCTCAAAAAGAAATTATTCTGCAATATACATAATAAACAAATATTATATCATAATGAGTGAGGGAAATGAAAAATGAATGATTAATTAAGTTGGTATGAAATGAATAAAACTATGAATATTTAATATTTGATGCAATCAATTCTATAGGGTAGGGGTGTGCCGATTACTGATACGATATCATATCTAATTTTGTATTTTGAAAAAATACCAATGGTTTTAATTTTTAATATATTTTATTTTTTATTAGTATAACATCTATAAACTATACCAAAAATATGTCATTTAAATATATTATAATGATCAGTGATAGTTTATATTCAATTCAATTGCAATTCTAAAAATATATAAAATATTTTATTGATAAATCACTTATTTAATAATAAGTAATAACATTAATCTATTTACACAATAAGTACAAAAACAAATATATGAAATTTGAAATAAATATTTAAAATGAATATATCGAAGATTTATTTTTAGAAATACCGGCTGACCTCTTTGTGGCGATGGGGACTGTCGCTTCACTAAAAACAGATTCTGAAGAGATAATCGCACACTTTTATAAACAGAATGCGCAAAAAATATAACAATATGGCAGAATGTGGAAAAAATAATATATTTTGAAAAAAGGAATACCATTTTTGTTGAACTAAGAGGGGAAATGGAGTGTTTTGAAGAAACACTTGTAATTCTCTTAGGATTTCAAATTGATTTTTTTCTTTGAGGGAAAGGAACTCGTTTTTAACCCCCGTCCTTATTGAATTTTTTTTACCCAATTGATTTAAGAATTTTAGGGATTGGGGACCGGGGTTTCAGAAAACACTAAAAATTAGAGGGATAAAAATAAAAGAATTTATAAGGGACTTATTATTTATTGCATTTTTTGATTTCTTGTAGTTCCTTCTATTAGCAAGAAATGAGGTAACACATGACACATCATACATAAGTCTTTTGCTGTCGAATCAAGATTTTAGAGACATGACATCGGGATGCTTACCATCCTCATTTAGGAAACCTAATGGCTTCAAACTATTGGGTAAACCCGCCGAAATCAAAGATTAGCCGATAAACCTCAATTTCTGGGTAGTTGAAGGTTTCAATTGGGACACAAAGTTTTTTAAATACACATTGAAGCATGGGAACTAGAAAACTCTTTAAATGGCTGGAAGTGAAGTGTTTGGATCCTTGGAGAACTAGAGTAAGCCAAGATTGTTTGGCCAAAGTTAAAAGTGGATCGTCCAACTCGATAAGCGGGGAAACAGATCGTTAAAGGATATCCAAGAAGAAAAAGAAAACAAGTAATTTATTGGGGTATGAAAATCCAAGTCCTCCCTGGTAACCAGGCAAAGAGAAAAATTACCAATTAAAATCAGAAATTTGATAAAATGGTTTAATTTTTATTTCAAAGGACTTAAGGAGGGAATTATATTGAAAAGTCGGGGAGATTTAAAGTGCAAGTATTTAGGTAATAAAATATTTTTTGGTGAGGAAAAAACTGATGCTTGGGAAGATTCTTTAGCCAATTACAAAAAAGATTAAATCAAATTGTCAAAAAAATTTTGGCTAAAGGAAGTTGAAAAGCCGATTGGAGAACCTAATAGACAGTGTTCTTCGTGCGGAATAATTTTTAAATCTGGGGGAGAGATAGAATTTTTAATGTTGAGGGACAATATTTCACATTTATTTTCTATTTAAAGAAAGACCAATTTTTGAAGCTTCCATTTCGACATACTTGGTAGCCGACATAACATTAGGTATAGATCCACCAAAAGAGCCATAGTCGAGTTAAGGTCTAATTTGAAATCAGACTTTAAATTTTTGATCAAATCCTGAATACCTATAGTAAAGAGCAAGGAACGGGATCACCTTGCTCCTCTCTTCAGAGGATATGGAAAATTCCTCCGAATTTGAGTAAAGGAAATTCCAATATTTGGGGAAATGTTGTAAAAATGAGCTCTTATGAATGCTGTTGAAGGCATTTCTGAAATCTAACTTGCAGAAAACATTATCCGCCTCATAATTTATAAAAATACGCGCTACGGCCACTTCGCACCCAACTCTTTCTTTAAAACCTAACTCTGAGGGAAATAGAAGGGAACTGGTCTTAGACCGGGTTCTATTTATTATAACTTGGTGACTAATTGATGAAAAAAAATGACCCTGCCCCAGTTCTTTCAAGAATCCCTATCTGCCCGAGAATCGATCTCAAGGTTTCTTTCGTCTTTTATGAATTATTTAAACTCAGATTTCTCCTCAACACCTTTGTGGTTAGATCTAATTAGTTTTTGCTTTCGAGTTTTAGTTAAGCCTAAGAATAGAATAAATAACTTATATTCCTCAATCAAGGAGAAAGTGTTAAATTTTGGAAATACTATTATTGATGAAATTTCTCCATCTATCTCTTTAAATCCTAACTCTTTCCGTTGTAAATTGATCTCTGAAAAATAAGATCTTGGAGATATTAACGGCGCTGCCCGAATATTGACTTCTGATGATACTATTTCCCTTATCAACGTTACTATCTTTCAGCAACTTCTCGAGAAACTGCTTTTAACATTCACCCGCATGGCGATGAAGTTCTAAGTGCTTGAAGTCCTTTAAAAATGTTAAAAGCATGGATGTTTCTTAAGAAGTTGTTGAAAGATAGTAATGTTAAAAGCAGTGAATGTTTCTCGGGAAGTTGTTGAAAGATACTAACGTTGATAAGGGAAATAGTATCATCAGAAGTCAATATTTGGACAGCGCCGTTTATCTCCAAGATCATATTTTTCATAGATCAATTTACAGCTGAAAGAGTTAGGATTTAAAGAGTTAGATGGAGAAAATTCATCGATAATCGTATTTCCAAAATTGAACACTTTCTCCTTGATTGAGGCAGATAAGTTATTTATTCTATTCTTAGGCTTAACTAAAACTCGAAAGCAAAAACTAATTGGATCTAACCACAAGGGTGTTGAGGAGAAATCTGAGTTTAAATAATTCATAAGAGACGTAAGGAACCTTGAGATCGATTCTCGGGCAGCTATAGGGATTCTAGAAAGCACTGGGGCAGTGTCATTTTTTCGTCAATTAGTCACCAAGTTATAATAATTAGGATCCGGTCTAAGGCCAGTTAGTTCCCTGCTATTTCCCTCAGACTTAAGTTTTAAAGATAGAGGTGGGTGCAAAGTGGCCTCACATGTAGTGCGTATTTTTATAAACAATGAGGCGGATAATGTTTTCTTCAAGTTAGACTTCAGAAATACCTTCAGCATCATTCATAGGAGTTTATTTTTACCATCTTTCCTACAACATTTTTCCAAATATTGGAATTTCCCTAATTCCTGCTATGGATCTCCCCTCGTTACTCAAATTCGGAAAATTTTTCATATCCTCCTGAAGAGGGGATTCAGCAAAGTGATCCTCTAAGTCCTTTGGTCTTTACTATAGGTGTTCAGGATTTGATCAAAAATGCCTAAATTCAAATTAGACCTTAATTTATGGTATCTCGACTATTTTTTAAATTAAAATATGACATGATACAAATCTCATAATATATATGGCAAATTTTTATTAATATGCTACGTTGTTAGAGATGCAAGAGATGAAATCACGACAATTTTCTGTTAAAATATTATAATTTATGAATGAAAAATCATCTTACATTTATATTAAAGCTAATATTATTAATTTATTTTTTTTTGTTTTGCAATAAATTATTTATGTATTAAATTTTCCTCCCGATGGCCTATTTGAGTGAAAATTAATTATTACAAATCATTAAATTAATCATCGAGAACAAATAAATTTGATGTAATTTTGGGATGGCTTTTTTTTGTATGTATATAAATATATATTTACAATTGTAAATTGTCAGTATGTGTGACTAGTTATGGGTAAAAATTTAAGATGCTGGTTTATCAGTGCCTGGAAAATTGATTTAATATAATCGATACCCGGAAAAAGACAAATTGATATATTACTTAAGATATACCTGTGCTCAAACTTAGAGAAGGCGGAAAAATAAAACCCATCCTGAAGATTCGATTCTCCAGTAATACGAAGAATTAGATCGCTGCTAACGGCTATTTTTAACTGGAAAATAAAGATTTTTTAATAGCTAATCTTGATTGAATACTCTGATGATCGTCGGTTTAAAATTGGAGCACCCTAATTGAAATTTTTCAAGATTTTAAATTTATTCAATAAATTATCAAAAAAATGAAATGAATCATTTTGAGCAAAAAAATCATACACCATAAATCAAATCCAAGGAATTCCAGCCTGAACTGAACCATTAAACTGATATTAATTAACCGTTATTAGTAATTATACCTAAACCGTTAAAATTTTATCACCGGAACCGATAAAATGCCTGTGAAACCAGGATGAAACTTTTGATATTTAAACTATTTTATAGTTGATTAATAATCAGTTTTGATTGATAAAGAATTATTTTTAAACATTTTTGTGTATTGCTATTTGAAGCTCTTAGCTACCCAAGTTAGCATATAGAAGGGGTATCTCAGTCATGAAATTTGTTCTTCTTCCTTATAGATATAATTAGAATCTTTTTGCAAGAAGGTAGAAAGGTTTGGACATCTATTAACAAAACCTTGAGGATTGCATATTATTTTCTGGCTAAAATATTGGGTTTATCATTTTTAAAAATCAAACCATTAAACAACACTATGGTCTCATTATTTTTTTTTAGAGAATAGCGATAAAATTTTTGAAAAAAAATATTCTTTTCTTTACACAATTTTAATATGCTTTTAAATGAAAAAATTTGAACAGATTTATAAAGCTTCAAACCTAACCGATATTATTTTTTACGAACCGAACCTTTATTTTTATTTGAACCCGAACCTATATTCTTTACTGCTTGGAATCCTGATAAAATTATCTTGTACATTTTTAAATTTGTTTTTTTACCTGAAATGCATTCCTATCCTGTGAATTTCAAATATTTTAAAGACACTGATTGAAGTTAGCATATTTATAGCACATATTCCCTTTTAACGTTATGTACAAACTTGGAGAAATAGTAAAAAATGGAAATAATCATAAGTTTTCCCACCTCCTACTGATAATGTTAGTTGTTAATGTGGATATATAATAACTTATTATTAATTTAAGTAAGGCTTGTAAAAAAAACATAAATCACAACGAAAAAAAAAGCACGAATCGCCTTATAGATGGATAATTCGGAAAACTAGTTTACCTTGAATAAAAGGATTGATTATATATTGGATTTTCTATTAATGGGTTATTAAATAAATTTTTTAGTAAAATGATTGTTATAATGATTATAATTAATCTATTGTTTTTAGTTTTTAAAATATAATTGAAATGTTTAAGAGAGTGCAATCGAATAATCCAAGGTCAGGAACAATATTTATTTTAAATGATAATGCCTAAATGAACGTGTTGGGAAGGAACAATCATGGTGAGGCGAGGGTGAATTATGAGCTGTTGTCCGCAAAATATTTTCTCTCGTAAAGGGGTGAATTTTTTTTAAAAAAAAAGCACAAGTAAACCTGAATATTTTGCTCATAGATGGGCAGAAATGTTTGGACCGCCAAATATCGAGACCTACATATAATTATTTTGGTTAATATCTTAATCGTGCTGTTTTTTAAGCCCCCACAAATCTAGCTTTTTAACACTATGCTGATCTTGATATTACAATTCTTTTTTTTACATTAATTTTTGTTCTTGTAGATACAAGCGTTGTCCCAAGTTCTTCAACATCCTATACACGTGATTCAATCTAATGCCCCAAACATAATCATGGGCGAAGAATTCGAGGATACCAAACCACCCTTATATATTTCGTAAAATATTATTGATAAATATTTTTGGGTGAATGGGTAGATTGTGAGCTTTTAAATAAAATTACGTTTCATTATGAGACTTACCCAGACTGGCAATTCATTCATTAAAATGCATTTCGAGCGTCCTTGAGTGCAAATCGCTATTTTGATTTCCCTTATAAGAATTTAAAGTTTTCGTAAAAATTTAATACATTTATATATGGGCAGAATTTGGAAATATCGCGAAATTGTATTATCTTGCATTGTATTTTTTTGACATTTTAAATAAGTTAATTATATCTCTACTAAGACTTATTTTTTAAAAAAATCTTTTCCATTTTCTTGACAAGACTTTTTTTCGTTTAAAAAATTTAATATTCCACCCAATTTTGAATTTTTTTCTTTTCAATCTTTATATATGAAATTAATGTTAATTATTATTTATATCTAGGTATACCAAATTTACCGTTCTATGCAAATTAGATAATTCAATTTTATAAATTTCTTGTTTATATTTATCATTGTGTCAAAAATCATCATCTCATTTTATAGGGTTTAATAAAATATATTTACGTATAATTTATTGAAAATATAGAGAGTAATTTTTGTGAATCACCGGATTATATTAATTTCCTGCTTATTGTACAAAAGGATTAATTAATTTTTCCATATTGTGTATCTAAGATACTCTTACTTAGGAAAAGATTTATGCATCATATATTTCGTATCTTTTTAATAAGATACTTGTATCTGTATAAGTTACATTTTTTATAAATTATCTGTAGAGAATCTGCCCAACTCTGCTGATGGGAAACAAAAATGGCATCACCTGATTTGCAATACTTATATTAATGAGTCGCTAGTTCTAAGTATTATTATTAGCGTTAAACGCTTCTAATTCAACCTATTTTTATAAACAAAGAACTCAATATTTTAACAAAAAAAATATTTGCCAAGTCTCGATTTTTTTAATAAATGTCCAAACCTTTGTGCCTCTATGAACAAAATATTCAGGCTTGCATATTTTCTGTGTAATATATTGAGCTAGCCGTTTTTAAAAATCGGCTCAAATCGAGTCGTTTAAAAACGTTTGTTTTTATGTTATCGATTTAATCCTACACCCAAGATTTATTTATTTTTAACTTTTCTTAAGCAATAACATATTGAAATTCAACTATCCAAAGCCTTACCTATCTATATATTTTTCTTCTTAGGAGCACTTTCAGGTTTATTATCTGCTAAATGCTTCTTAAACCAACCATTTCTTTCATTTGAAGCTCTAAAAGTCCAATTATAGCAGATTTTGCTTCCTAAGTTCTGTTAGTTACGTTATTTAATTGTGAATTCGCATTTTAATATTTATTATTTTAACAGCTATCACCGATATCTATACACCCTCGGCGAACATTATAATTCGGTCTGTATCAACAAATAATGCACGATACGTTAGTGATGAAGAGTATCTCTAAATTATTGGATGATTATGAATAACTTATATTTTTTAAACATCAATGTGTATTTATTTTGTTAATGCTAACTTAATGATTGAAAAATGTACAATAAATTCAATTTATTTGTTTTTTATATAAAACTCAAAATAATTTGTAAGATTCAAATACATTATTAATATTAAAAAATGAAAGGAATTATATTTTTTACCCCAATTTACTCGTATTAAGTATTAAAACATTTGAGTAATCTTATAATGAGAATGGTTGGGGAATAGATCACTCTCTTATTGCAATATTGTTATATCACTCAAATTTCTATATTAGGCCTTGATATTTTAGAAACTTAACCTTTAAATTGATTATAAAAAAATTAGGATTTAATATAAAATTAAAATTTAATGAGCTTTGTAGTGTCGAAATAAATGAAAAATTTGGGTAAATACTTATCTTATTATAATGCCAAAAAATGCGCTTAATTTCGGGTGACCCTTAGGAAGGTTTTTACTTACGCCAACGAATTTTTAAATGGAAATTTGTAGATCTCATAGCATATCAATCCACGGTGCCATAACCTAGATGCACTTCCTTATTCCAATTTTTTTACATTACATTATTTTATTTTTATATAGCTTATATCATCGTTAATTATAATCTTTTTTAAATCGAAAAAAAATGAGATCGTTATTTTTTTTTTAAAAACATACGATACTTTTATTTACTTATCTTACAATATTAGCATCAACTTGTTTAAATAATTGAATTTAAAAGTATCTTTACCAAAATATGTTTATATCTTAAAATTAGTTTAGCATAAAATAAGCTACCGAAAAACTAAATTAAAATATCGATAAGTTTTCTAGTAACAATTAAAAAATGTGTAGTGTTCCTAGGACCCAGTATATCAATGAGGTCAAGAGTTAAATTAAAATATTATTAACTTTTTCATAATATATTTCAAAATCTGGTTAAATTGCCCATTAAAATTTAATAAATATATAGCTCAAAAAATATTTTATTTAATGTAAAATTCTTTTCTTAATATACTCTTGAGCGTTGACCTCAAAAATTCGAGGTCTGCAAAACTCGATTCACCGACCTGTTGGTCAAAAATATAATCAATTGTATATAATATTTGTTAGTGTTATTAAAGTTAAAAAAACTAACTTGTCCAAGATCTAACTCAATTATTAGTTTGTATAATTCAATAAATTATTATAGAAATGGAAATATTTTCTGATATACAGATTTAAAATAGATATTAACGAAATTACTGTCCTATTAAATCTTCGATTTTGCAAAATGAGAATGATATTGATAGCTGAATATAAATAATGAGATGAGGAAAATTTTCAATACAGATGAATTTGTAGTTTGTGATTCAATAATGGAAATAAAAAATGCTAAAAGAGAAAAATAGTTTTAAAAAATTTTGTCAATATTCTCCAAATAGGAACATAAAAATAATCAATTTATATATTTGTACATGATTATAAAAAGAATATATTATAGAATGGTGGAAAAAGAATTTTCATTGTGGAAGAAAAGACTTTATCCTAGCAGCATGCACAAGTTCAGAAACATCTGTCCCAGGAAAAATACCTGAAGATCATTTTTTTCCTAATTTAAAAGTAAATTATTTTCATGGGCATAGATTATACCAAAAAGATATATGCAAATATATACGAATCAAATTACAAAATTAATATTTCTTATACTGAAAAAACTGGTACTTATTTTAAAGTCGCGTTGGGAAAATTTTTATCTTTTTCATTTCATGGAGCTGAATAGGATGGAGAAAATATATCTCAAAGGTTTTATTGGGTTGAAAAATTTTAAAATTCTCTCCCAGCAATATGTTTTGAATGAAAGAGTAATTAATTTCCATTAGCTTTTATATAAAAAAAAATCAAATTGAGGACATAATTTCAGGTTGCACGTTTTGCTTGTTTATGCCTAGCCCATAGAAAAACCTAAATATATATTGTGCCCAATAAATATGGGATTCAGGTTAAAGATTTTAATGGATTAATTAATATAATTTTTTTTTACAATCTTATAAGAATAATCATCTAATTTATTAGGTTATAAATAAATAATAATAACATTTTTAAATTATGTTTTATTTTTTTCTTTAAAAAGGGAGCAAATATTGTAGCCTATTCCTAAGACTAGGATGTTTGCCCAAATCTTCACCAAGAAAATGTTAGAAATGAATAAAAAAACAATAAATATGTTACATGTGTTTATGTGTCGAAATATCTGAACAAATAATGAGCAAATAAATTTAAATTTTTTAAATGTATATAAATTATTTTGTTTTAACTCTTTAGATAAATCATGATATTTAGTGGAAAGGAAGGACACATTAGACGCTCTCATGGACTGGAATGCTGTTTTCAGGAATATGACTGCTAACGGAAGTGGGGTGAATCCAGTCTGCTTACAGACCAGATCTGAATTGCTATCTGTAAAGATATTTTTATTAATGTTAGGATCATATTTGTCTCCATCTGCATTGTTAATTAAATTAATATTATTGTTATCTCTCATAACAGCATCCTTGGCCAAGTATAAAGTGTAGTCTCGATAAACTTCATGATGAATATCATTGAATTTTGTAATAAATGCATGTTTGATCCAATCTACAAAAATTTCACACATTAAAACGAGAGCCATATCTGGGAAAAGTTGGAAAAAATGATTAATGTCCCAGGAAAACTCAGTCATGTTACGTAGAAAAACAACACTCAGGATCACAAAATAGTTAAATCTTTCCCGAACATCACTGCATGTCATCTGGAAAAGATTGGCATTTTCAAATTTTTTGAAAACATTGCCTTTCAGTTCAACAAAGTTGTTGGATATCATGATGGAGAGCAAAGCTTTATTGTGGGAATTAAATGCTACATTTAATGTTGTTGCTTGAAGCAAAATCAAAAATGCATGAATGAAAAGATAGATCAATGCTAACATGAAATGAATGGCTAAGCCTAGGTGACCATTAGAGTCCTTAGAATCACTAGACCTTATTTTATTGGAGTCAAAAGTAGCGGCCCAATAGAGAGACTCTAGTATATCTTGACCTAAAGAAGTACAGAGCCTGTCTGCTATCTCCAGCATGTTAAAAAAGAGATATAATTTTATAATTGCTTGGCCTCTGACTATATGATAAACCATTGATGTATCAATCACACAGAATGCTAAGGTGCTTAAAAGAAGCAAATAGCCTTTTAGTAGATCACATACCTCCGCTGTTTTTAAGTAAAATATTCTTTTTTTCCTGGAGAATCTCTTTCTCTCCCCAAAATAAATAAAAGAATGTAAGAAATGAATGAGAATTGAACCTAGGTGAAAATTAGCTATAATAAATCTTATGGGAAGAAATGTGTAAAGTTGAAGGAAAGAATTTGTGCATTGCAGAAGTCCATATGTAATAAAAATTTCCAATTCAAAGGGTATCTTGAACAAGGAACTAACTTTTTGACATTTTTTAATGTAATTAGCATCATTATCTTGGTATGAATTATAAGCTGAAAAGAATTGCTTTTTAATAAATTGATAAAATGTAGGTTGATATTCTCCCCTTTGTAATTGCAAATCATTTGTTTTATCATTATTTGCTAAATTTTCATTTACATCATCATTTATGTAAGAACTATCTTTATAAAAGGCTTCATTGTTTGTCTCAATAATATTGGCAGGTATATCATGGATGTCTTTATAAAGGGCTTCATTGTTTGGTTCGATAATATTGGCAGATAAATCATGGATGTCTTTATAAATTTTTTAAATTTAAGTGTGAAATATATTATCACCTTCTTTTAGAGATGAAACATTAGTAAGATCCAGATTTAAATTATTGTATAAAAAAATGTCCTCATTGATTTCAGGTAAAATATCCTCTAATTTTTCGATATCAGAATCAGTGAGTTGACTATCAAAGTCATTTGACATTATTTGAGCTCACTATTTATTATGTTAAAAACTAAGCTTGTAAGATTTATCAGATATCAGAGGCTATTAATTTTTTATTAATTTATTCATGTAAAATATTTACTTTAATTATCAACCAAAATGTATAATACATATATATAATTATAAGCAAAGCAATCAATATATAACCATATGCAGGATCTCTTCCATATATCTAGAAAAACATCTCATATGTATTAACCAAATATTTTACCATAAATTTGTAGAAGATACCATAAAAAATAATAAAATATATTATCACCTGTCTTTCGAATAATTAACGATATGTGTGTGTCAAATCTACAGCTGATATATTGCCATATCGACACCAATGATATATATAACTATAGATTGGCGATCATGCATAAAAAACGTCCACCTATTGAAATCAGCTGTAGCGCCATTTTGTAGCTTGTACGTTGATCAAATGCCTCAATAATGATAATAATTTTAAAAAATTTAACAATTTTACTAATAATTTTTAATGTAATTATGTAAAATAATCAAATGAATCCTAACCTCAACTGATCTTCAATTAAATTACATGGGTATTCTCTAAAATAAAAAAAACTTAACATTTAATCCAATAGTAGTACATAATATCATTAAATTACTTTCACCCAGAAATTATTCAGAAACATAGATTGCTACAACATCACTGAAACAAAAATCACCAAAATTATACCCATACAAAATATTCCATACTTATATCTAATACACCCTCAAATATTCAACCAAATAAGGTCCACTGCCTATATATAATTGCCAAAAAAACTTATCACACAGATTCCTTTGACTCAGTCAAGAAAATACATCTTTCAATCATAGTTTTAAGTTAATTTATCTACTTGATTAATATTATTATAAAAATAAATTTATTTTTAAACATTCCTCAATTATTTAACCCCCAATCATTTATTAGAATATCTAATTTATTTTATACATATTAATTGCAAAGATATATATATATATATATTAATTAAATCTTTTTGAAACAGTTTCTTATATATAATCTATCTATCATCGTGTGTGATTGCTATTCTTACAAGGCGGATTCTCTGTAAGATATAGAATGTCTTAAAGGAACTACCGCATCGGGATGGCATCATTCTAGCAGGCGATTTCAATGCTTCAGTAGGTAAATCTAAAAACTCTTCCTGCCTTGGAAACGCCACATTAATACAAAGTACGAACCACAAAGGTAAAAGGTTAATAGAAATCTGCGAGCTTTTCAACATGAAAATTGGAAATACTTTCTTCAATCATCCAACTCATCACATCATGACTTACAAGAGTCCTTCCTTTGGCACTACCTCACAGATAGATTTCTTTGTAATTTCCACTAAGATCTTCAAGTGGGTGAAAGACATCAAGGTAATGAGTAAACTTAACCTTACACTTTTTACGGACCATTGGGTTGTGAACTCAAAATTAACAACAGTATCTTCCCAAACCACACTAGACAGAACAGTCTCACCACTGTAAAATACATAGCTAGAAAAGACTTGGCACAACTAAATGACTTAGAGGTGAAAGAAGAGTTCGTCTCTAAATTAACATCATGGAGAAACACAGTAAATGGCATGATAAACACAAATCTGACCTGGAAGGACATTAAGCTGAATTTATTAGGTAGTATAACATCATGCTTAAGACCACGCACCAAGATGAGAGAGTGGCTCACCCCTTCAACAATACATATAATTAAGAATCTTACAACAAATATATCCCACCATCAATTCGCAAGACATCATAAGAGGTACATTACTCACCGCATAAGGGCTGACAAAAGACTGTTTATTGCTTACTTATCGAATTCTATCCAATTCAATTTTGATAATAATAATATTTATAAGGCCTTCCAATCTCTTAAACTAATCACCACCTTTATAACCAATCCTTTACCAAGACTACAATTAAATAACAACAAGATTATAACTGACCCTAAGGAACATAGACTTATGGATAGACCACTACATGAACCTCTACAGAACGAGATGGCCTAGACCTAGATGTGACTACCCCTTCCAATCACCCAGTCAGAATCTGAACAAGTCTAATATAGTTGGTGCCATCAAACGTCTAAAAATGCATAAAGCTGCTGGAGCTGATGGAATTTTTGCAGAACTCTGGAAGATAGAGGTAGACCTAAGTGCCAGCTTACTACTTCCCCTCTTTAGGGAGATTTGGAATACGGGCAAGTTTCCTGACGAATGGATGACATCAATTATACTAAACTTCCCTAAAAATAAGTCCCCAAACTGCCTTAAAGATTACAGAGGTATTGCACTGATTCCAGTCACACTAAAAATGTTCACATACATCATATCAGTCAGGATTAAACCAATCATTAACAGGTTCCTTTCTAACGCTATCACATCATACAGGAAGGGCAGAAATACTACGGAGTTGACTATGGCACTTAAGGTCATATCTGCAAAAGGCCAGAATGCATAAACCCCCCATCTTTGCCCTAATGATTGATTTAAGTCAAGCCTTTGACTCCATAATTCAGAATAAAATATTACCCTTGCTGGAAAACATTGGAATAGATAAGCATCTGATAGCGCTAATTAAGATAATTTACGACAATCATAGCGTAGTTCCTCAGCATCTAAATATGAAGTCGCAACCTTTTAAAGCAAATAGGGGCCTCAAACAAGGATGCATCCTTTCACCGATTATTTTTAATGTAATAATGAATGATATCCTAAATAAATCCCTTAAACAGGAATATGCACTCAACACATATTACAGTGATCAACAACACCTCAATGATATGCACAACTCTGTAAACTTTCTATGTTATGCCGACGACTTATGTATTCTAGCCAACTCAGAATACAAATTAAGAAATATTTTATCATTATTTGTCAACAACTGTGATGGATATGGTTTAAGAGTTAACTACACAAAAACCAAACTGATCACCTCAAATACCGATGCGAGTCACTTATACCCCTTTAACTTTGAGGGTAATACGATAGAATTAGTGTCAGATTTTAAATACCTAGGAACCAGGATAACATCATTAGGCCTCACTTTTTTAGATACGAAATCGAGAACGAATAATGCTAGACTCCGCTATCATCAACTGTCGAAATTATGGTCATCCAACCAAATATCAACTAATTTAAAAATAAGACTCTTCAAGTCCATAATTGTACCCATTTTTACCTACGGCCTGGAGACTTGGCAGGACTCAAAAAGTAACATCAACACAATTCAGACATTTATAAACAAATGCCTTAGAAGAATCACCAAAACGTATTATCCAAACAACACATCAAATACAACGCTCTGGAATAGATGCGACATCCTACCAATCAATCGTCTCATACCCTTGAGGAGACTAGAATAACTAGGCCATAGTTTAAGGCACTCGCAGGAAAATATATTCTCGTCCTTGAAATGGTGCCCTGACGGTAGGAAGAAAACTCCTAAATACTATTGGTTGGCGAAATGTTTGAAAGATATGGACCTGATTAACCACTCGTTTGCAGATTTCATGGCGCTCAGCAAAAACAAGAAACACCTAAAGGAACATTTACAATACATGTTAAAATATGGCCTAAATTAATATTGAAACCGTTCTTCTCCTTTACGTTCTTGCAATAAATGGAATAAGTATATTTGATAATGATAATAACCTGAACAACAACAACATAACTTAACTTCTTTTATTAACCCACGACCTTCTTTTCTGGACACACAATATCGGTGACGATAACTATAACAATTACGAAACTATTAGTTGTATAATGGACAATGTGAAGATAAACTGGTTATAATAATAACGCAATAACTCGGACGAACCCAAATATCATTGGCACAGCACATACAAGATCTACAGGACATACGATATTTGGCACACCGAACAACAAACAAGGAAGAGACTCTTCATGCAAACTTAACATAAACTCTCAATACTTACCAAGATATAAGGGTTATTATTTTTTGTTGCCTCACTAAATATCACCTAAGGATGCAGGTACATTTTTTATATGACATTATTTTTTTTTCCTTAACACTATTCTGTTGGTAATGGAACTAATACATCATCATTATTGTACTTCTTCCTTCTTCACTTTGCTAACTGGCTACATAGTGGTACCGTCCACTATAATAAAACGAGGTAATCTATATACTAATGAAAATATATGATGCACGCTTCAACTCCTGGTGGGTGATGAAATTGCACTTCGTGCAATTTCTGGCGTGGTTATAAATGAATGAATGAATTTTATTAATTATTAATAATTCAAAAATTGCTTTGAAGACAGTTAGGCAAGTGAATTATGTTGAGAGCTATCAGAAGCTGTGTCAATGATGTATACACTATTAGATTGGCGATTCCTTTTAAATGCATCAAAAAGTGTGCATATATAGAAATAGGTCATTATGCCATTAAATTTGTAATTCATAATCTTAAAAATGTATTCTTGTTAGGTAAAGTTTTGTGAAGCAATCTTAAATCGAAAAAAGTTGTTCTTTAAGCAGATTATATAAATATCAAATAAAAATGATGAATTAAGATTTTGTGAAAGATATTTTTATTATGCACGAAATTAATGGTACTAAATTATAAGCATGAAGTTTAAGCGAAATGATAGTCGTACACTATATGCCTATTATCAAGGAAAAGATAATTTTTTTTATATCATTGCATATACTATAACGAACAGATATCCTGCCCAAATTATATTTAAAATTATTTTTCAAGTAACAAATTTCAAGGTTAATTCTTTATATTTTTGATATATAAACCATTAACTTATATCATAAAAAATGGTAATTCTCAAGCTTAATTCAAGCATTGTTATTTTATTGTAGATATTAACTAAATATTTAGCTAATAACATGAAATATTTTGAAAACAATTGATAATTTTCAGGCTTATTCAACTATAATATTTATTTATATTTTTAACATATAAACTAAATATTTCGCCTTTTTCATCAAACATTTTTAAAAACAATCGGTAATCCTCCGGCTAAAACATAAACTAAATGTTTTACATTCCACTAAAAATTTTAAAACTATTCGTAATCCTTAGGCTTATTCGAGCATTGTAAAATTTCTTTTTATTTTTAACATATATACTAATTAATAGATAGGAAAGAAGAATATCTGATTTATTCCTTGGAAAAATTGGAAGAAACAATAAAGCCATTTGAAGAATTGAATTATATCTTTATATATATTTAATTCAAAATTGCTAACATCTCCAATTTTTTCACCCATTGATTATAGCAAGTTTA